AGACCCCAGCAGCCGACAGTCACTTAGTGTAACGCCTGCCTCCCCCACTCCACCAGGGGCTCCTCCAGAAGATGAGCTCACCTTGTGCCCCGCACCCCAAGCTCACAGACACCCCCTTACATCTGCGGGTGCATCACGGAGGCCCAGTTTGGCCCTTGAGTCCTGTTCCCCTTCCCACCCTGCCTGGCCTGCGTGCCTGGATGAGCCAGCGGGTCAGGCTGTGGTGGCTGGGCTGGCCTTCCCAGGCCCAGGAGCGCTCCAGGAGTCCTGAGGACACCACTCTGGTGGGGTGCTCTGCTCTATTTCAGGACAGCTCAGGAATAGCTGAATCGGGCCTCTGTGATGACCACAGCGGCTGCAGTGGGTGGCGGACTTGCCCTTCCTTGCTGGATTTGCACGCCTAATTGTATATCTTACAGCTAAAAATGAAACCGGTCTCTGTAATTACCTGTCCCAGGCAGGCAGTGGGGAACTGAAAGCACACCCTGAAACAGCTGGGAGGGCTGCCGGGCTGCCCAGCTGCTCCATCCAGGCAAGTGTTCTGCCCTGCCAGCCGGTCATGGGCCCTGCACAGGGTGCTCGTACCTGCAGTGTCTTGCGAGGGCAGGTATGGGCCAGGCCCAGGTCAGGTCACCGTGGTACAGGTTCCTTTTGCTCATAAACAGTTCTACTAACCTCGGTCCCCTTTCTTCTTTTTCAAGTTAAATTTTGGTTATGGGAATAACTCTTGGATAAGAACTGAAAAAGTGGCCCTGGCACCCTGCACCTGCACCAGTCAGGCCTGGCCAGTGTCCTCTCCCTCCAGTGTGAATAAGCCACTTGTCCAGGGAGCCAGGATGTCCCTGGGCTAAAACAATGGCCTCCTCTGGGCCTTGCTTTTGTTATTCTACTTTTTTTCTCTTTTTAGTGCTGAGGGTTGGAGCCAGGACTTTGCACATGCTTGGGTCTTGTCATTTTAAAGTTGTAGTTCTGTAGTTCGGTCGTGCAAGGCAGGCGGTCTTGTTTTCCTAATAAACCTCTTACTGATAGCTTTTCTTTGCTTTAGTTTTCTTGTACTCTTACCTCCAGCAGACATGGCTCGCTGGGCCGCTGGTCACTGGCGAGATTGTCACTGTGCCATATGGGCCCGTGGCCGGCCCAGACTGCGCCGTGTGACGTGGGCATCTCCACTTTCCTCTGCGCACGTACACTTGCATTTGTCTCTTTGAATTTTCTTCTTCTTGATACTGAGGTTTGAACTCGGGACCTTGCGCTTACTTGGCAGGCGTGGTTCCACTGAGCTAAATCCCCAGCCCTGCATTTGTTGCTTTAAAAAAGTAAACAAAGGTAGGCCCCTTCTGCAACTTGTTTTTCCTACAGGTGGGAAGGGGCCATCTTTCCCTGTTTCCCTTCCCTTCCTTCTAGCAGTTACCTACTCAATGCCATTGGACAGTTCTCTGTAGCACATTTTGAGTTTTCCCATTTTTGCCCAGCTGTTATCGCTGCACTGTGACCCCTAACACTCAAGTGGATGCTCATAGTTCCTGAAACCTCCACCTGATTCCTTTGTAAGTTTGGGATCAAGACTCTCTCCAGTCTCCTTTCCATCCACTCTGCTCCTCAGTGTCCCTGCTCCAGCCACACTGGCCTTCTTGCTCCTCTGCACACAGGTCAGATGTGTCCCTGCCACAGGGCCTTTGCACTCGCTACTCTTCATACCTAGACTGCACTTCTCCAGGTATGTGTGTGGCTCCCCATCACCCCCTGCAGCTATTTGCTCCAATGTCACCTCCCCATCAAGTCCTTCCCTGGCCAGCCTCCCTGCATGCCCCCCTTACCTAGACACTACCTACCTCCTTCCTCAGTTGATTTTTCTTGTAGCACTTACCACCCCTAGGCTCACCTTTGCTTCTCTCTCCTGCCAACTGCCCCAATATCAGCCTCTCGAAGGCAGGACCTCCCTTTGTTTACTGTGTAGTTTCTAGGGCTTCCAGCAGTGCCCGACATGTAGTGGGTGCTTAATCAAGGCCCTGAGATTTCCTCAAACCTGACCTGACCGTTTGCCCACTCTGAGGCTCACAGTTCTCTGCTTGGTGCGTGGCATCCTTAATCTTTGTTGTTGTTTGAGACAGAGTCTCACCTTGTAGGTCAGGCTGATCCTCCTGCCTGGGCCTCCCTATCTTGCTTTGATTTATGAGCACCCCTCACCCCGCCTTATTGCCCCTGCCCTGAGCTTGGGGCCCCTTCTACCCATCTGATGGTGCCCAGACTCCTTCCTCCAGGGGACCTTGCAGTCCGAAGGTGGCTGTGGCTGCCAGTCCGACACAGACCCTGGGCATGGAAGGGCCTGGGGCAGAGACAACTCCTCTGCCCACAGCTCTGGGACTGGGGTGAGCTGTGCAACATTTCTGAGCCACCTGCCGTGTTGTGGAGTGCGGGCACGCTGGGCCCCTAGGAAGCTTGTGGTGTTGATTTCACCTTCACTGTGGTCCCCTGGGCTGGGTGGGCAGGGCTGCCAGGCTTTTCCTGTGGGAGTGGTGACATCTGATAGCTGATTGTACAGAGTGCTGAGCAAACAGGAGGGAGGCCCAGTGCCGATCCCGTGATCCTGAGCCCTGCCCAGCCCCGCTCACCTTCCTGCAGGAGGAGCACCACGCCTGTCACCTGAGTCGGGAGAGCTCCATGTGGCTTTCTCCAGCTTGGCCTGGCAGGACCACAGGAACCACAGATGGCCTCGGGCTTCCTGGCGGGATGTTCCCATGGCAGGCTCTCAGAGGGGAAGGGAGAGAGTCAGTGCTCGGGTTCACCACCTGCTTTTGTTGACAGCGCTGACCCTCATTACTTGGGAGGGGTGTCCGGCACGCCCCAGCTGCTGTCTCCCCCACTGCCCTGTCTGCTGCGGCTGCCGGACCCCAGGCCAGGTGGGGAGAGGTGGCATGCGCTGCTCCCCAGCTGCCCTCTGCCTGCTGGGCAGTCGTTCTCTGCCCTTCACCCGCCTGCTGTGGGTCTGCTCTCTGCCCCTGCCTAAGCTGCAGTCCGCAGGACCCAGCTGCCTGCGCGCACTGACCTCAGCCCTGTCCGCTGGCCTCCTCAGCTCCTGGGCCTCGTGCCGTTTTGCCATTGGCCAGGTTGTCACCACCTCAGAGCCTGGGACTCGGTGCTCGCTCTGTCCACACTTCTCTGCAAGCCTCAGGTGTCAGTGCCCCAAGGGCCATCGCCACCATGCTCCGGAAACAGCAGCCTGCCTCCCCTGCCCTGTGTTCTCCCTGTTAGTCTGACGCACTGTGTGTGTTGTTAGGGGGAGACATTTGTGGAGGTGTCACTCGTAAACCATTTAAATCGTGTGTTTAAAACATGCAATCCCGAGATTGTATTTTTATCATGTTTTGGTGGTGCGGGGGTGGAACCCAGGGCCTCACTATGCCAGGCAGGCGCTGTACTGCTGAGCCCCTCCAGCCTGCCCAGGGTTGTGCGGCCGTAAGTGCAGTCATCTGTAGAAATTTCCCTCATCCCGCCGGGAAATGCAGGCCCAGCGGCCAGTGCTTCCTCCAGTGCCCTCACCCTGTGGCCCCCACCCGTGTACTTTGTCTCGCAGATTTCCCTGTAAACGAAAGCAGGCGTTACGCTGGCCTCTGTGTCTGCCTTCCTCACCTCGGCCCCTAGCGTTAGTGTTTCTAGGGATAAGCCACACTGGCACGCAGATGTTCTGCACTGCCTTTTCATTGGTCTTGTGAAGAGACCACAAGGTGTTGTCCACGCCCCAGTTGGTTGATGTTTGGGTTACTTTTAATTTTTTTTTTCCTCTTTGAGTTTGTTGGTAATTTTTAAAAAACTCTATGAGGAATTGAACTTAGAAGAGCTCCCCCTACCACTGAGCTGTCTCCCAACCCTGTTTATTTTTTTAAATTGTGAGACCAGGTCTCATAAAGTTGTCCTGTTGAGAACTGAACTTGTGATCCTCCTTCTTCAGTGCTGGGATTACAGGCACAACCAGTGTCCAGCTTGGCTTTCACTCTTGCTCTTGTGGATAGGATAATGCTACTGTGTGTTTATGTTCAAATTTTTGTGTGGACACCATGAGTAGAATAGCCGGGTCATGTGTGGTAACTGTTTAACCTTCGGGTTGGGGGCGGTCCTGGAGATGCGGCAGGTCACTGCTAGCTCCATGGCCCCGTGGATCCCCCTGCCAATCTTGCCTGGGCTCTGTATTCAGGTGCTGCCTGACTCGAACCCAGCCTGGCAGCTGTCCCGTGTTCCGCAGGTGACCCAGAGGTCACTTCCTCAGCTGTCCGCTTGGTCATCCGGTTAGGTGGGATGAGCTGAGATACTGTCTCTCTCTGCCCCGCCCTTCCTGAGCACCCACGGTGCCAGGCTGGGCGCAGGGCACTGCTGCAGGCTGCAGAACTCTTGCATGTGCCACCCTGCCCCAGATCTTGCCAAGCCCCTACGGCAGCCAAGAGAGGCTCCCGCGTCCTCGCTGGCAAGAGGTGCCTCCTCCCTGGGGGTGCTGGGTTTGTTAGCTTGGCTGTGCTCCAAGCCCTCCATAAGCGTCAGGAAGGCCGAGGGCCCCGAGCTGCTCAGGTTTAGTCCCTGTTCTGCCCCTGCCAGGAGTCCACCTGAGAGGGTGGCATAGCCCCCAGAGCTCCTGGTGTCTCCAAGGAATGGGTGACGATACCAGCAGCCTGGACAGTGCAGCCACCTATCTCTGGCACTCCGACCGAGCACCAGTGCTCTCTGAATACTGTCTGACACAGGGGAAGCATCGTCCAGCACCAGCCGTTAGGGTTGTTGTAGTCATTGTTGCGTATGGCAGAGCCAGCCTGAGGACCAGCCTTGTGCTGCTTCACTGCCTGGTATGTGGTTTATGTTTCCGCAGCAGTTACACAGCACATTCTTGTAAAAATAGTCACTTTGTGATACGGAGTGAAAAGTGAGAGCTGCCTCCTCTCCCACTGGCAGCAGGGCCACTGGGGACTGGCCATGTACCACCTGCCCCTACTTACCCGCCCGGCTGTCTGCAGGGAGGAGGTACAGGAGAACTGCGTGCGCTGGCGGAAGAGGTTCGCCTTCGTGTGTAAGATGAGTGCCAACCCAGCCACGGGCCTGCTGGACCCCTGCATTTTCCGCGTGTCTGTGCGCAAGGTGAGGCCGGGCTCCTGGACCTGGGCCGGGGATGCCGTGCACCTGGGGCTGAGGGTGGGCGTGAGGCTGATGGTCTGGGGGCTTTAGGACCCTCCCCTGACGTGTTCCCTCTGAGGGAAGACGTGGGGAGTTGCTCTGCTCTTTATTGCATCCCCATCGCTGGTGCTGAGAGTTGGGGGAACCTGGGGAGACCCACAAGGAGTCTGGAGCTCTCTAGTGATCCTGCTGCCTGTTTCCCTCCCCGTGCAGGAGCTGAAAGGTGGAAAGGCTTATTCCAAGGTAAGAGGGACTGTGCTAAGGGTGGTGGGGACATGGGTGGCACAGGACTTCTAGCCGCTCTCCACCCAAAACAGGAGACACTGAGCCCCCACGCGATGGATTGCTTGGTGGGGTATTTTTGTTTCTAGTCTTGGCACTTGATAGAACAGCAGCATCTCCTCATTGCAGTGCAGTGAATGGGCGCTGTCTGTCCCCCTCCTCTCTTCCTCCTCCCAGGACTGCATTGTCGGTGTTGGTTAGGATCTTTCCAGACCTTTTTGGGTGGTGCTAGGGCTTGAACCCAGGACCCCTGGCATACCAGGCAAGTGCTCTGCCCTGGAGCCACCCCCCAGCCCCAGGCCTTTTAGGGAGAAAGAGAAGTTGTCTCCATGTAGAGCGGTGAATGAAAGCCGGCCGCGAGTGTGCCTGTGCGCCTGCACGCACTGTGTGGTTCCTGAAACGCGATGCACACATTCCGCGCTGGGCCCTCTGCTGGCCGGGAGAGCGTGCCATCACGGATGTCTCTGCTTTCTCGTGGGAGCAGATCCCGCTGCAGCTGGTGACAGCTGACTCCCACCGTCCCTGCTGTTGGACATCTGTGTCGGTGCCAGGTTTTCACAGCCCGGCTCAGCCCTGACCAGGGAGGCCTTTAGTGTGGGCAGAGCAACAGAGGAGGGCCCTGCCTTCTCTCTGAGCCCCTCTCCGGGGAACCTTGCCACCGCCACCACACTCCAAAGGCGCCCAGCAGTGCCCCCATCTGGAAAGCCTGAGGAAAGTGCTGTGGACCAGAGCGAGCCCTGCAGAGTGCGGGGCCGGCACGGAGCTCCATGTAGAGAGCTTGCCTGGCATGCATGAGGCCCCAGGCTCCACAGCACAGCTCCCCGCACCAAAAGCTGACCAGAAACGGCAGGGTGGCTAGAGCCAGCTGGGGAGGCAGGGCCTGTCAGAGTAGAAACTGCTCTTGGTTCATGCGGGTGAGGACAGCCACCAGCTAGGCAAGAAGCTACCGGCACCCTGCCTGGACCATCACGGCCGGCGCTGATCCGGCAGCCAGCGTGATGTGTCACCCCCTGCAATGGCACCTCAGTTTTCCATCCTGTTACACGGGGAGAAAACTGAGGCCCAAGGAGGTGTCAGGCCCTGGCACCGATCAGGCCTAGTTGGCACCCTATCTGCAGGTTAAGCTCTGTGTGCTTCATCAAGTCACTTCCCCTCCTTGAACTCTGTTCCCTTATCTGTAAAACCAAGAGGAAGTGCCAGCCAGCCTCCCTCTGCCCTCAGCCATCTCATCCCCAGTCTGAACGGGAAGGTCTCTCCTGGTCTTGCTGGCTGGGACCCAAACCAGCTCCTTGAATCTGGAGTGTGTGCCCCTAAACCCTACGGTAGAGGCCTGTATGCAGCTGATGCCTTGGCTGTCCCTGAAGTCCCCAAACCTGTCCCCCTCACCTCCTCCTTAGTTTCCCCTCCAGTGAGGCAGGTGTGGCCTCCTTCCAGCCCATGACCTGAAGCCAAGGAGCCACCGGAGTCCCCAGGATCTGTCCAGACCCTGGGCTCTGCCCACCAGCCTCTCACTCCGGCCCCCACCAGGGGACTCTGCAGGGCCTCCTTCTTTCCTAGCCCCCCATGTCCCATCAGCCCGCCCTGCCACCAAGTTCCCACGAGGCTTCCCTCCTCCCCTGCCTGGTCTCCTGGCAGCTCCGGACAGCACAGCCTTGTTTCCCAGGGAACAATGCATCTGTGTCACAGACGACAATGCCCTTTCATCTCGGGCGCACTGGCCCGGTGCACACTGGGACGCGACACAAAGGATGCTTTGTGCCCTCAGGGATGCGAGCTCTAGCTTTGCCGCATCCATGCCGCCAGCCCAGAGCCCTATCCTTTGGACCCAGTTATGCAACAGCCGGCTGGGGCCACGGGGCGGGCCCGGGGTCTCTGCCTGCCCCCCCTCACCACTCGCGCCCGTTAACCCTGTGGCATCTGCTGGCCCTGCACCCACACTTCTGCAGCCTCCCATCAAGCTTCTTGTCTTCACAGCTGGGCTTTGCCGACCTGAACCTGGCCGAGTTTGCGGGCTCAGGCTCTACAGTGCGCTGCTGCCTGCTGGAGGGGTATGACACGAAGAACACCCGGCAGGACAACTCCATCCTCAAGGTACCACCACCCTGCTGCCTCTCTTCCCCGCAACCCCACCAGAGCCCTCATCAGAATCCCCCAGGGGTCACTAAACACACAGCTTTCCCATGGCCAGGCAGCAGGAGCCCCTGGGAAGATGAGGGCCCTGGGGTCACGCTGTTTCCTTACGCATGCTTAAAGGTAGGCCACCGCGGTCTCTGTCGGGGTCTCTGGCAAGCCCCTCAGTAAGATCAGCCTGCGCCGAGTGCTTGTGTCTCCTGTCTCCTCACCGTGACCGTGACAGCTGCCCCAAGTGTGCCCCAGGTTACACAGAAGTCCAGTCATTTGTCCAGGGTGTGGTTAGACTGGCACTTGCCCCTGCCGTTGGCCTCCACGACCCGTCTTCACCACTGCCCTTCATGACCAGGTGCCACCTGGCTCCTGGGGGTGTTGGTGGAAGAACTGGGGTCCTGGGCTTATGTGCCGTGCTCTTGTATGGCTACTTACAAGGTACTGGTGGCTGACACAGCTTTCCCTAGGCAGCTTCTCTTTGGCCTCGGGACGAGAGCTGTCCGGGCAACACACACACACACACACACACACACACACAC